TTTGATACAATGTTGTCAGGTCTCTCTTACCTGCAGCCTGTTCTGCTTCACTTACCAGTGTTTCGTAGAAGTGTCTTTTGTCTTTCCATACACTCTTCTTCACTTCTTTGTTCAGTGTTTTATACATTGTGCTCAGTTCCTCTTGTCGTTGAGCATCCATGCACTGCACTGGTTTATCTTCTGCTTCACCATCCTCCTCTCCCTGCTCTATCAGCTTCCAGGTATCCGTCGAGATCCATTCCTTATCTTCTTTCTTCTTCCTTCCTAATACGGCTGTGCAGGTTTCTTTCCACATAGCTTTCAAAGACTTCCAGTGTTCTTCCACACAGGTTTCTTCAGGGATGTTCCTCGATATCTCCCATTATGTCTTGATGCCTGGCTGCCGTGAAGATCTCCTTTGTAGTTTCATCCTTCAGTTCAGTTTCCGAGTGTTGTACTTGAACTGAGGTCTATCACCAGCTTCCTTGAAGGCTTTTAACTTGATTTAGAAGGTTCCTTGCACTATATGGTGAGTGGTGTGAACCTACATCTGCTCCTCTTCTTCACCTTGTGTTGAGTAGACTGCGTCTCCATTTTCTTAAGATTGAGATAAAGTCGATTTGATTTTTAGTGGGTCCTGGTGTCTGGTGAAATCCATATCACTTTGTGGATATCCCTGTGATTGATCACACTGCCTCGCCACCAATCACCAAATCGTTGAATGTACAGAATTCTGCAAACAATCCTCCATTCTCATTCATTTCACCTAGCGCCTCTCGACCCATTGTTAGTTCTCTTCCTGTGTTGTCCCCTCCCAGTTTGGCATTCATGTCGCCCCACCCATTAGAATTTTGATATCACCAACTGGGTTGTGGTCTTGTCCAGTGTTGATTGAAATTGTCTGTAGAAATCCTCCTTCTTCTCTTGCTCTGCATTATTTGTGGGTGCATAGTGTAGCATTGTTTGACTGTGACCTTCCTTCCTTCCTTTTGAGTTGAATCCATCTTGCTGTCATGACCCTGATCTTGGAGGAGATTGGTTCCCACTGTATGAGAGCCTTCGATGTTGTTGGGGACATAATGATAGCCACTCCGTAACTTAGTGTGCTCGTGGTTGTCGTCTGGGTTACAATACCGGAGTAGATTATTGATTCTCCAGTTGACAGTTTGGAGAGTCCACTCCCATTCCATCTTCTTTCGCAAGTTCCAAGCACTTCGATGTGATACCTTCTCATCTCCTTTGCAATCTGGGCTGCCTTACTGGGTTCAAACATTGTGCGAACATTCCATGTCCCCACGTTTACTTTTGCTTTCATCGAGGGAGAGAAGACACATCGGCCCGGCCAATTGGCTTCCCGAAGGCTTTCACCAACTGGTGTCATTTCGCCTCTCCGATTCCAGCGAGGAATAAGTTTGTTTTCATTTTTTATATTTTGTTTGTGCTTTGAAGTTTGTTTAGCGGTTAGATTTGTTTTCCGGGTTAGGGTTGCTAGCCGTGTGCCCAACCTTCCCTCTTTACCCGGGCTTAGGACCGGCTAGTAACTAGTGAACTAGTTAACCAGGCGATGTTGTGAAATGTGACAGCAAAAACAAATTGTTATCACTAAGGATATTACAACTCCTGAATGAAGGAAGTATAGCTGCCGGCTATTGAGAGTATTATTCATACGCATTTAAATGGAGAATTGTTTCTGTTATATTAAAGTTTACTTGCAATTTCCGCTTGTTATACTGAATCGAATTGGCCTTGTGGATAAGACTCTGACGTTTGAAGCTGTGGATACAGGGTTTGAGTCTCGGGAGGAACACCATCACTCATTGGGATGCAATTAGATCTAGCTGACGAGTACGAAACAGGATGAAAAATGTGTCCTGCATTCCACCACTAGTCACCAAGTAAGCTAAGACGAGACTTGAAAGTAGTTTTAATAGCAAACTGACATCAGCTTGAGAACTGCTAAACGCTTTTTCGTCTTAACTTGGAACTTCTCAGCAATGCGCTGTTAGTTTTTCAATGGTTTTCTAGCTAGTCTCAATCCGTTATGAAAACTTTTTTAGACTAATAAGTCCCTAAAAACCACCAATTAGGATAACGACTTTATTTCTAAATTATGTTCCCCAGTGTTAACTGTAAACTGAAGTACTATTTGTATAGTAGTGTTTTTAGTTAGTATTTGAATTCCTAATAGGTGCATTGTCATCTGCGATGCATTTTAGATGAAAACATATGATTTTTTTAAGTGAAAAAATTAAGTGATATCATTGTTTCAAGGGACTGTTAACACATCTGGTGTAATCAACGACATTTTAGACAGGAACAGCGGTTTTTCTTCACAAGGTGTATAAGTTCGACCAGCTGTAGAGCTGTGTGCAGCAATGAGAGTAGAAGCAGGTTAGTTTTTTTACTTAGAGTGATTCATAGGGTCCTGGTATAGCAATTAGTGCGCTAAGATCCTCACTGATTAATATATCAAAACTAGCTTTCTTAAAAGTCTGTTAAGATGATCATCAACTACATCACTTTCAATTTTTGCTGCTTGGACCCAGAATAATTATTTTTTCACCTAGGATTTTCATTATCACTCACGAAAAACCTGTACACTTACAAATACCAACTGATTAGTGCCTGCTGGTTCTCTGTTGACTCAGTTGATCTCGATGCTCACCCTTTATAAACAATGTTGAGATACTGAAGACAGCATTCAGGAGTGATTAGTTTACTGCTTTTAAATTCCTGGTCAGAGGGCCAAGTGAGTTAGTGGTTTAACTGATTACATTTATGAACCACATTTGCGTTGAATGTGTGATGATTTAGGAATTCTCGTCTGAATTTCCCACACTTATGTAAGACCTTTGTTTCAAAGATGGAGAGCATTGTTCAAATGGTTTTAAAGTTGCAATGAATACATAGAAAATACGTTTGTTAGGCACCATATCAGCCCAAGACTTTCAATCTCAACAATTTTCTTTGTCAAAGTGATCTATCTAATGGTAAGGAACCTCTTATATACAGCACGTTGTTGAATTATTTTTATCACTACAGCTCTCACTATTCACTCAAAGAATTCTGTTTGCAAAAGAAACTTTTTGAACCTTCTTTCCTTTTATAGTCTGAATTGTTTTACCTTTCAAATTGCATCAACCTTCATTCTGTTTACTTGTTAGATTGAATCATTTCTCCACAATTTATGTTAGTCTTGTGAAAATATCTGCATTACGTAACTTTTTACCAAGAACTAATTTGTATATAATTCTCCTGGTGCCTTGAGCTTCATCATTCTAAGTAACCTCAATATTTAGAGTTTGAAAATCTCTTATCAAGCAACCGAAAGTATCAGCAGAAGAGGTATATGTGATTAAGATTGTACGGTTTTCATTTAAAAAAAAACCCCTTAGCTAAAGTGCTTTCTTCTTCTCTTCAAACTTGAGAATGTTTTGCAATGATGATTCCATTCTCTAGTTTGTATGCCTTAATTAATTTCAAGGCGTTTTCCATCACTTGCTTGTAATAATATGAACCACGTTTCAAGAGTTTGAGAATAACATTCTTTTCATGCAAACATAGGGCTTTGTTTTCCTCTACGTAAGTGCTGTTTCAAGGTGTTCAAAATAAATGCGATGATTTCTATCTGTTGCTTGTTAATTATCATTGATTATTCAAATAATGTATACAGGCGATCAAGTTCATCTTGCAGTGAATGAGAACCACTAAATTGTTTAACAGTTGCTTGTGTAAAATTCTGAATAAAATTGGTGGATATTTTACAGTTGTTTACTTAAAAGTAACAAAAGATGTATGAAATAAAGTGGATATATATATATATATATATATATATATATATATATATATATATATATATATATATATAACTTTATAATTATAACAAAAAGTATGCAATAAACGTAATAAAGAATTCAGTTTGGAGGTTTGTAAGAATTTATCGATTGATTTCAAGTCGGTATTCGTCACGGAGTGACATCAGCTGTAAAATTATTGGAAATTTGGAAACTGTTTCGTCCTAGTATGGAGGTCAGGCTATACTGAGAATTGACAGAAGTAGGGAAAATATGAGCCATTGGATTCCGTCACAGTGGCCTCGTGGTAACATGTTAGCCGTGGAACCTGTAGCCACTGGGTCCAATCCCTAACGGGGTCATAGATGAGCACTAGAACAAAACAGCTGTTCAGTGCTCCCAGGCTTTTAATGGTACTCTAAACAATATGAGTCCGTATTCTTCAAGCTTTGAAGTCTGTTATTGGACATTTCATCACTAGGCTAGGTGACTTCACCAGCATTTGTTTCATACATAAGTCCCTATGAAGTCCATATTATCACCCTCATCTTGAGCCACAAATCTTCTCTGCTACATAAGAAAAAAAATTTTAATCCACTTTTCGTTCAAGTGGACAATAAAGAACCAAGTAATTTCTAGTAAACTATTCAGTTATTTTATTAACGATAATAATTAGCTAAGAAAACACAACAAGTTAACAAAATCACCAACTTTTGTAATCGATGCTTTGATGAACTATGTTTAAACAAAAAATAGTTTTCATTGCTTTAGAACATAACACACTGCAACAGAATAGAGGAATCAACGAAAGAATGACTAATACTGTCAAAGAAGAATAACTATAATATCCTATACCAAAAGAAAAACTGAAGAAATGTGATACAAAAGTATATTTTTATGTATGCACTAGTCAGTATTCATTTAAGCAGGATATCGAAAAAAGTGTGATTACATTTGTATGATTATGAGCAATAATTTATGCTCGAAACGTAATCAAGTAAATAATACTGTATCACTGTGCGCTATGTATCAAATAAACAAATCTAATATGGAATTACATTCTACCAAAGTGCCCAAGTTTTACACTTCAATAAATATTAGTCTAACAACTAATTTTTAGAGGAATTATAATACACAAAGTAAGCATGATTATATCCCCTTTGACAAAAAAAAGATTAAAAGGAAAAGCCAAACTATAGAAATATTAATTTATTTCTAATGAGTGAACAACGAACGGAATGAGGATGACAGACAAATATGATGAATAATTTTTTGCAAAACGGTGAAATTTTACTGACCGGGTAAATTTATTATATCATGTCTGTGTTCATCATATTCAACCACAAGTTTCTCGTAGAGTTACCCGTTAAAATAAACTGATCTGTTAGTGATTGAAATTAGCTGATAACTGTCGTGAGTGATCAACTAACATCTCTACTTGTTTGCTAGACTTCAGTGCAGTAACATATGAATATATTTGAGTTGATAGGCAGGATCAGGTTTTGTACAGCAACCTGTGAAGCGGAATTTTTAAATATCGAAGAGCGAGAATTATGAATCGACATCTAGGCAAGCAGTAGTTGCTTTCATGAAAAATGTGACTTGTCAGCGTAATAAACTCTGAATTATTCCACCATAAGTCTAATTAATTCTAAACGACAGTGTTGTGAAATCAATCAAATCAACTTGAATAACAGATAATTCATAAATGAAAGAACAATTAAGTAAGAATAATATATCGATATAGTTCTTGATACTCATGTGACTTAAGTACTGCAGAGAAAGGTTTATAAAAAGCCAACCTAAATTTTTAGAATGCAGGAATGACTTTGAATTTCGTATAATTAGAGTTTGAGAAAACTTAGGTTGGCATACTTACTTAAGAATACCAGTAGGAAAATTGCAAACTCTCTATATATTCCAACGTAAAACGTGTTATTATAAGTTACTGATAAATCTTTCTCAATAATCTGCAAGACATCGTTTTCGTCCTAGGAACTCCATGCAAACACGTTACCTTATACATAATTTCATTTTACTATTGCTTTTTATTCATAAATTATATAGATTAATGTATTTCATTGCAAAACAGTCTTTAAGAAACTATCTTGAGAAGTAAGTGTAATATCAGATTATTTACATTTTATTGCACGAACGAACGTCTTTTTTAAAGAATAACTTCACATCCTCATTATATCGAAGAGATTTGTAAGAAAAATCAGCTTTTTCAATTAGTGTACATTGTTATGTATTTAGCCTTCATCATGCTTATGCAACATGGAAGTCTTATGAAATGTGAGTATTTCGTTTATGCTAATAATTTACCTGAGCCAACTAATAAATTCCAATTTTAATGAGTCTGAGATTCCATTTGCCCAGATAAGTCATCTCGTAAAAGTTGACACAAATTTAAATGTCGTCCTGCTGTTGAGGTTTAGTAAACAGTTTTGGTGTTTTTTCATGGACTAAGTTACATTGCATGATCGAAATTTGTTCAGTATTCCATTGTTTACAACGGTCGGAAACTGGACAAGTACCTATGTTGTGCTCTTTTTTCCATTCATGATTCAAATCTATCCAGATAGTTGCATAGTTTAGCAATAGGTAGGTTAAATCTGCATCATGCCACTGCTGTAATCGCTCAACTGAACGGACTCGTATACATGAAAGATTTTCAGTTATGAAAAGATGGATGAATTAGAATTGAGGACCATAACTGACAAATGCACTAAGTGAAGGCATTTTGAAGGGCATACAATTTTCTCTGTCAGATGTGACTGGAGTTGAGATTTATAATTCTGTTTATAAGGACTTGGAAAACTACTTTCTCAATACGCAGCCTGCCATATTTCAAAATGTATTCAAGTAACCGGTTAAGCGGCAGTAGTGTCGTTATTGTAGTGCAACTTCTTTGCATTAAATTAATGCTAGGCTCAAAATAAACGAATATTTAAAATATCTAAATAATAGCTAAATAATCTTCTACGGCCTCAACAGGTGACAGTAGTTCCCTTAGTATGTTGTAGCGTTGTAGGCATTCGCCTGATTTTGCGTCTTCTTTGTGCTGATCGACAGCAACTAGCTCAAAGTCCCTAGCTTATCCAATAATAGACAGATAAGTTAACATTCTTCCCCTAATATAACGTCCGTATCTCTGAGTAATAAATAAACTGTTTGCCTGAATACTTTTTACCATATAACGTGTTTTCTAATTTGTCTTTCGTTATCAGTACTTACACATTGGTAAGGTAATAATTAGTTGGATACTGGGGCACAGTGATTTACTTAGGGCTGGTCAAGTGTTAGGTTATCATAACACAACCAGACCCATTTTAAAATGCCATGAAAGACGTTTTTGTAGTGAAAGTATAGTTAGGTGAACTTTTTACAATGTATACAATAGAGTCGCCTTTCAACGAAGTATACAATCTCTTCCAACAAGACTAACTTCCCAATACATTTTTTCGGTTTACTATCGTTACAACTTGTGGTATTAGGTACCGGTTAATCTTTTGATTATTCTTACCCAAAAAATATGTGTAAAATAATTAGAATTTCACTGCTGTGACACAACCATACTTCTATGAGATGAGTCTTCATTGTTCGCTAACAAACAATCTATCAAAGGTTTAACAAGTGTATACATTTGTGTGGTATACATACTTAGTTTTCTTGTATTCATCACCACCACGTTTTAGCGTTTGATACTTAATACAAACAGGTTTGTCTGTGTGCCATGAATAACGCCTGCTTTGTGACTGCTAATGGTTATATCTAGCTGCCCTGATCATTGTTGATAAGGTAGTTTTGAACCCAAAGGTGGAACATCTACGCATCTGAGCTACACTTTATGCACTTTAGTATAACTATGTGCATTTTATTGTCCATAATTTAATACGAATATCTGAAAGCTGTGGTGCGTGATTAAATTTCAATAACTGATGTTAATAGTTCAAATTATATAGTCCAGAGTTATAATGAGTGATATTTACCGAGGTAAAAGTTGGGTGATAACGAAACGGCCATCCGGCCATCCAAGTAAAAGTATGGAGAAAAAATGGCAGAACGAATAAACAAGGTATAAATTAATGTGGATGAGAATTTATAAGTTGAGATAAATGTTTTTGTGGTAAGTTATGATTGGAAGGACTGAGCGAAATGAAACTGAAAACTACTAAATGTATGGAAATATAGTGAAGCTGAAAACGAAGATACCGTGTAACATTAGAATTCATTCAATAAACACCAATAAAATAATTGTTTGGGTTGGTTTTGTTGTCTAAATCAACCAGCTGTTTCCCTATAGAACTACTAATGTAGCCAGCTTAAGCTTTGGGCTACCTAAAATTCTTAACTTAATATTATTCCACCAAGTTCTTCCCCTTTGGTTTGTTTTAATCTTTGAAATGTATCTTCAGGATGTATCGTGTACTCTCGCACATTTTTAAAATGTTTTCAAATAGTCGTTTTTCAAGCCAAGAACAAAGCAAGGAAAAAACGTTACAACGGATGGAAATGGACATATAAATGTTCAGAAATGCAGCACATTACTATTCCTAAGATACCTATGTCAAATTGAAGATTTTTGTACCGGCTGACTGAACCACTATCATTAAAATTATACTCAATTTTGTATTTATTCGTGAATCCAAACCAGACATTAAAGTAACATCGGCTGCCCGTTTTAAATTAGTGCCTTTAATACTGTTATTGTTAACACTATTCAGACATAATAATTATTTCTTTTAAAAATATTGTACAAGGAGAGAATTTGTTGAAATATTACACGCTTAGAATTCCATACTGTATCACATACGTCTGGAATAAAGGTATTATTGTTGTTATTATTATCGTTTCATCTTTATAGACCAGGCAGCAATATATCATCCCATAGGTGTTGACGGCTGACTTACTTTTGTCCACTGAAATAAATGATTTCGGTAATGCATCGGAAGGCTGCCAGACGAATGAGACTGTCTTTTATAAAAAGAGAATAATTTACGGTCAGTAAAGGTAAACTGAAGTTTAACTGCAATGAATGCGTTGCAATTTTTTTGATAAACATGTTTGGCATGTACACTTGACACTAAATCACTTAATTATTAACCTCATGGATAAATAAGTTTTGTAAACTTAATTGATGACTGATTCTGATGTTTTTCATATTTTTCTACCCATAAAACGACTACAGCAGGCGTTTACAGTCAGTATACCCTCAAGAAAAGATAATATATCTCCAAATCAGTCTGTGTATTAAATATATCGTATTCGACAGAAAAGGCAGTAGATATGGTTTCTTTTCTTATTGGTAGGCATATGGAAATTATTCAGTTAACCATCTCATTTTGTTTTTCTGTAAACAAGCATACGGTTGTTGAATAAATACAGAAACTCATTCAGATCGACATGTATATTACAAGTGATGATAAACGCATTGTCTCAGTATTTTGTGGTTTACCTAAGATGAGTATTTTCCTAGTTTTAGAATAAGAATTCTGAGACCAGTAGTTCTAATGGATATCCTATTTATCTTTTTCTTTATACTTTATTATTCATACGGAGGAGAACATGAATATACATTTCAACATGAGTTCTCTTACGCAGCCGACAAAGCATCACACAAAACAAACGGTAACGATATTTGGCAAATAGATGAAAAATGGACAGATTTTACGTAAAATATACCGTCCGAAGAAGAGAAAATGTGAGTCTCAAATAAGTATGATCAGTCATATAATCTTATTTATTTTGAAAAACATTCTACTTAAAACGTATTTTATTGTAGCTTATTATTGTATAGCTCATTTCAAGAGCTTCTTATTGACACCCATTCTGTACGACACAGTTCCAAACTTATTCGCGGTGAGATCAGTCATTTTGGATTATTACATTTCTATGCATGAAATCAGTTATTTCATTTCTATAAATTATAGTGCACTGGGAACATGTATTTCACTTGTAGATATACATTACCCAAATTGCAAATACAGAAAGCTAGTTGGCAGCAAACTTGTCTTTTATTGCACTAGGTTGGGCTGTGGGTGGGAGAGTTGAACCAAGTCACTAATTTCGTTGTGTTTGTGAGACATAAGAATTATGTGTGGAACTAATCACGTGTGAAGTCAGTGTTATGAGAGAACCAGAAAAATCACATAATTCAAAAAATCATAACTAGGCCGTTATAATAAATTGGTGATGGGGACAAAGTGTATGTTCTTACCAGTGTTACTATAACTCAAGTAAGTTCAACTCTTATTGGAATGGCAGGAAAAACAATAACTGAAACAATTAAGAGGAATCCAAGAAATTTTCATTCAATCAGTTCAGTCTGTGGTAATCCGAGGATAAAAGGAAATTAAATATGCCTTCCACTTTAGTCTAAAATTTCATAATGATGCAGAAAATGGCCTTACATTTGAATCATGGTTTGGACGAACTGAAGACCCACCTGGCATTAAAAATGCCTCCAGTAATGTTACTAAGGTAGTCTGCATATCATTATAAAAAGTTAAGA